AAAGAACAGCCGTTGATGATAAGGAACAAGAAACCATTCCATTTGCATACTGTGGGCCTTAGAAGATAAAACCACCATAGGGCTGGTGAATGGATAATTTAATGTACTGTCTTATTTGTGTATTAGGATTGTTTAAGGAGCTTCATAATCTAGGAAAGGGTTAGTGTTGGAAGCTATATTTTCATTGTTATAATTTAGATGTTTACTAGAAGGAGCTGCTAATCATTATGATGATGCTAGATCTTGAACAACTGTAAAGTAGTCGTAGAATGTAGAAACTTTCGACATTTCATACAAGTGAGAGTTCAGTACGAATGGATGACAGAGGAAAGAGTACTCAGTTCTTGATCGAATAAATGTATTTATATCACTGAGAGTTAGTGTACTGCCAGCTAATTAGTAATTTAACCACGTTTGTTATCAACCAAGGATATTTCTGTTAGAAGTTATTAGTGTATTAGTCCTATAGCAGAAATAAATTAACTTGTTATTGTACGTGGAGCGGATTTCGCATAATGTTTACCATATAATTCAAAAGAACCCACTGAACGATAAAACAGCGCTGCAAAAATAATTTAAACTCTTCATAAATAAGTTAACTGAATGAATTTAGTCATAAATGGCAGCAACATTTTGGTCGACTAAGTTATTCGAAAATATCAAGGATTTGTTTAACATAAATACAAGTAGTGTTTTACTTTTAACTTAGAAGAATTGGATGAGAGAGTTGAATCTCAGAAATAAAACCCTAAATTTAAAAGTAATTATTTCTATCTAGTTACTAGCTTCTCGAGTCAGTCTTTTGATAAATTGTACTAAAAATCAGCTCTTTATAGAGTGTATAATGATGCTCCATTTTGAATACTAATGGTCAGGTAAACAGTATATAAAAACATTAACATAATCGAATATTAACCAACATTCTCATCGACTAGACAAGTTGCTGATTCATTTGGTTGTGATTTAGCATCCTCATTTTCAAATCCTCGTTTTTTTTGTTCTCAGAAGAAAGAAAGGAAATACCTCAGTTGAAGCTCCGGCTTTAAAATCACATGATGTCCTACAGATAGCGCTATGGTAAAGAAAGAGGCAGATCTGTAAAATAAAGAAAATTTGACCAATATTAACGTGTAAGCTATATTATCCAACCAAAAGGCATGGGACACACTTCTGATTGCAGGAAAATGGATGTAATGACGAAATATGCAAATAGTTTGGCCTATAAGGATGATCAGCGGTTCGCTCGGAAATCATTTCGAACTTGTACGCTGAATGATAAGTACTCGGAAAGAACTAACAGAATTACAACAATAGGGAAGGATAGTTGAATGTCATTTGGGTAAAATGTCTGTACGTGCTATTGCGCAACAATTAAACATTTCCAGGTTGACAATTGGCTACGTGCTGAAAAAATGGAAGTCCACAGGTGACAATGAGCCCAAAAAACGACCAGGTAGGCATAAAATACTGACTGACAGAAGCCGACGCGGCTTGAGAAGGCTGGTTACCTCATCTCGCTATCAGACCCTAGAGAATCTGGGTTTGGAGATGCGAGCAGCCACAGGCAATTCTTTAAGTGTTTCCACAACACGTCGAGAGTTGCATGCCTTGAATTTTCACGGAAAAACCGCAGTCCACGAGTTGTTGATAACAAAAACAAATACACACCATCGATTGGTATGGGGAAGACACACCGAACCTGGACCGTGGATCAATGGAACTCGGTCGTGTGGAGCGACGAGTCACGCTACACGGCATTCCAGTCTGATGGATGTGTTTGGGTATGGAAGATGCTTGGAGAACGCTTATTACCTGAGTGTGTTGTCCCAACAGTGAAGTTTGGAGGTGGCGGTATCGTGGTCTGAGTGTGATTCTCGTGCTATAGACTAGGTCCGCTGGTCACAGTGCATGGGTCCATGAATGCTGTGTCCTACATTGATGTACTGTGTGTCCTACACTTTGGCAGTTTTATGGTATCGGTCCTTACACCTTCCAATATGATACCGCTCCATGTCACAAAGCAAGGATTGTGAACGGAATGTTGCAGTGGCCAGCACAGAACCCTGACCTCAACCAGTAGATGAACTGGAATGCGGAATTAGGGTCAGGCCAAGACGACCCTCTTCAGTAGTGGAGCTTACTATGCTTTAAAGGAGGAGAGGAGCACAATACCACCAGCTTTCTACCAGAAATTACTAGACAGTCTTCCATAATGCATTAAAGCAGTCATTAAGGCCAAAGGCGGACCAACACGCAGTTATTTTCTTGGAATAAAGGAATGTTTTATTTCCGTTCAGGATCTCGAGACAACCTATGCATTATCTTCCCACAACCGGATCGGTTTGAATTACATGATATTTTTTCAATGGGAATTACACGAATTGCAGGTTAGATGCGTTTATGACATTCGCTCAAATGGGTAACAACACGACGCCTTTCTGTCACTGAGCACGTTCTACCCAGTCACAGTCTTATTCGATTGATACCAGGTTGGCCAATCTTTCTTTATTTACGGCTCTGAAAAGAGGGTAAACATTTCAGTTGATACATGAGTCTAACGTGTTTATATTGTAGAAGGATAAAAGAAGTTTAAACCACGTGATAAAGATGAATTTCTACAAGTGGCACAAAGTATAAAAAATAAATAAATATCTGAGTTGATGGTAAAACGAGGTGATATATATATATATATACCAGGTAAAGTGGTGGGTGTAAAACAACCAAGTAAAGGTTGATAAAACGAGGTGATATATATATATACCAGGTAAAGTGGTGGGTGTAAAACAACCAAGTAAAGGTTGGTTAAACGATGTGATATATATATATATATATATACCAGGTAAAGTGGTGGGTGTAAAACAACCAAGTAAAGGTTGATAAAACGAGGTGATATATATATATACCAGGTAAAGTGGTGGGTGTAAAAAAATCAAGTAAAGGCTGGTAAAACGGGATGTGATACATAACAGGTATCATTTTGCGGGAATTGAATCTAGTGTAGTTTTATCTATTACACTACACGATATGTACTGTGTTTTATTTCTTACCTCCTAGCGTCAGTCAACTACATTCCAGAAGTCCCTATTTCATTGTTTATTGAATTTCGAGCAAAGCTGCTCGAGAGCTATCTGCGCTAGTCGTCCCTAATTTCAAGTGCTATATACTAGAGGAAAAGTGGCTAGTTAACACTACTCGTCGCCAACTCTTAGGTTATTTTTTACCAACAAAAAGTAGAATTGATCGTCATATTATAACGCCCCATGACTGAAAAGTATAGTCGGTGACGGGATTGGTTCCGCGACCCGTAGATTACCACTTGAGTGCTATTACCACTAGGCCATGGCAGAAAAGAAGCCACTGGCAATAATGTAAGAACTAAACCTGTTTGTCATACACTGAACTGATTGTATTACAGAAGCACGACACCACGAGTCTCTTAAAGATAGTTTCTCAACAAATTCAATAATTTAGTACAGTGTTTGAAGTAATTTGAAGGGGAGAGGCACGGGGGTATGTCCCCCACGTGCATATGCCACTGCTTACTAGAGAGATTTTTCTTCTCGCAGCTGGGACTGCTATTGGTACATGTTTGTTTTTTTCAGCAAGACGCAGTACAGTAGCACCGTGTTTTCATTAACTGTTTATTTGTAAGTCATCGAACGGTATCTTCCAGAACTGTTGGATTGGTCGTGTGAAACACTTGCCAGGGGAGGGGCAATGCTACAGCATTTTCATCTGTGCGGTGACATCAAGTCAACCCACCTCTAACTGCTCTGTCAGTCTCAGGGGTAGTATTTGAGACGCAGTTCCAGTACAGGGCTTCCCGAACGTTGTTGAGGTCGACAGAACTCGTGCACAGGATGAGACATACCCTGAACTTCCTGAAGTCTCCATTTACAAAGTTAACTGTCTGTAGACGTCGGGTATTTAGTCTACATAATGTTACATACACTAGCTATTGTTCCAGGGCAACAATAGTTATGTAAGCTATAAATATTACATTGTTGTAAATATTGTTTTCTATGTTACATACACAAGTTATTGTTCCAGGACAACAATATTTTTGTAAGCTATAAATATTACATTGTTGTAAATATGGTTTTCTATGTTACATACACAAGTTATTGTTCCAGGACAACAATAGTTATGTAAGCTATAAATATCACATTGTTGTAAATATTGTTTTCTATTACATACACAAGTTATTGTTCCAGGACAACAATAGTTTTGTAAGCTATAAATAATACATTGTTGTAAATATCGTTTTCTATGTTACATATACACAAGTTATTGTTCCAGGACAACAATAGTTATGTATACTATAAATATCACATTGTTGTAAATATTGTTTTCTGTTACATACACAAGTTATTGTTCCAGGACAACAATAGTTATGTAAGCTATAAATATTAAATTGTTTTATGTTGCATACACAAGTTATTGTTCCAGGACAACAATAGTTATGTAAGCTATAAATATCACATGGATGTAAATATTGTTTCCTATGTTACATATACACAAGTTATTGTTCCAGAACAACAATAGCTATATAAGCTATAAATATTACATTGTTGTAAATATGGTTTTCTATGTTACATACACAAGTTATTGTTCCAGGACAACAATAGTTATGTAAGCTATAAATAATACATTGTTGTAAATATTGTTTTCTGTTGCATACACAAGTTATAGTTCCAGGACAACAATAGTTATGCAAGCTATAAGTATCACATGGATGTAAATATTGTTTTCTATGTTACATATACACAAGTTATTGTTCCAGGACAACAATAGCTATATAAGCTATAAATATTACATTGTTGTAAATATTGTTGAATTAAATCCTTCCACTGGTTACAGTAAAGAAATAGATATATTTGTTGTTCTTGACTTTGCTTTTATCTTTGTTTTGTAATGTAAATCACGTCGGTGTTTAACATTTTCACGGATTATCATCACTTAATGTCTGTTTTTTTTGTTTTGTTTTTTGCCATTTCCAGGTAAAGCAACTCTTACACCTGATTATCCAGTGGCCTCTAGTGGAAAACATATAAAGGTGATATTATTAAAATATTTTATTTTTTTGCGAAATGTGAATGGAAACTACAATAATAATATAAACAGTCTGTATTTTTTCTCATAATATTTATTTTTAAGTTAATATTTCCATTAATTTTTAAATGTTAAAACAAGTATTTCTGTATATAGAATCGGCAGCGTTATTTATTTTCTCAAAAAGTTAGATACAAATATATTTGCCCGGTCGTGACTTAGTGATTAGCTTGCTGAACTGTTGATCCATGGTTTGCGTCCCATTGCAGCAAAATTAGACTCCGCACTTTGCGGCCATGAATGCATGATAAAAATGACGATCAGTTTCTCACTCTTCGACTAAATTAGTTCAATTGTTGGAGGCGGGTGCTGTTGACTAGCTAACTGCCTCTCCTCTAGTATATCATTTTAAAACAAGGCCTTTCTAGCACACAAAGCATTTGTGTAGCTGTGCGCAAATGTTCGAAACAAACTCAAATAAAAATACTATCTGTACTTTGTTTACCTCTATTGTTTCTCTCGGTGTAAATATGTGATAAATTACATCATTACTACAATTCTAAGCATGTAATTATGAAAGAAAAACGTTTAAAAGTTTAACGTGCTTGCCCAAATATGGCATCTATTCTTGATGCTGGTTTTTGACAAAGTTGGTGAAAATAATTACTTTTATAAGACATATCATGAAATAATATATATTTTTAAAAATGGAAAGAAAATTGTGTGCCCGACATATTTTATGTACTTGTAAATGTTTTAACACCATTTGTTTTCCACCACTAGGTGGCTCCTCCACCAAAACATAAGAAGAACCGATTAATGCTTACCAAACCCTTTACATCAGTGTTCCATCCACACAAAAAACATAGAACAATGGATGACAACGATTTGTCTATGGTAAGTGTTGGACTGTGTTTTATGAATATGTGTGTTTGCAAGTGGTCGGCGGCATGGGTTTGTGCATATACGTGATTTGTCTATGGTAGGTGTTAGACTGTGTTTTATGAATATGTATGTTTGCAAGTGGTCGGCGGCATGGGTTTGTGCATATACGTGATTTGTCTATGGTAAGTGTTAGACTGTGTTTTATGAATATGTATGTTTGCAAGTGGTCGGCGGCATGGGTTTATGTATATACGTGAATGATAAAAGCCACTTTTTTGTTCACTGTTTTTAAATGTATGCCGTTAACACTGTTACAGATTCTGTAGAGCTCGCTAGAGAATCCACTTTTCTAAACTCAGACTATACTGTTACAGATTCTGTAGAGCTCGCTAGAGAATCCACTTTTCTAAACTCAGACTATACTGTTACAGATTCTGTAGAGCTCGTTAGAGAATCCAATTCTCCGTGCTCAAACTATATTGTTAGAGGATCCACTTTTCCAAGGTTAAACTATACTGTTACAGATTCTGTAGAGCTTGTTAGAGAATCCACTTCTCCGTGCTCAAACTATATTGTTAGAGGATCCACTTTTCCAAGGTCAAACTATACTGTTACAGATTCTGTAGAACTTGTTAGAGGATCCACTTTTCCAAGGTTAAACTATACTGTTACAGATTCTGTAGAGCTCGTTAGAGGATCCACTTTTCCAAGGTTAAACTATACTGTTACAGATTCTGTAGAGCTCGTTAGAGGATCCACTTTTCCAAGCTCAAATTGTACTATTAAAGATTCTGTAGAGCTCGTTAGAGGATCCACTTTTCCAAGGTTAAACTATACTGTTACAGATTCTGTAGAGCTCGTTAGAGGATCCACTTTTCCAAGCTCAAATTGTACTATTAAAGATTCTGTAGAGCTCGTTAGAGGATCCACTTTTCCAAGGTTAAACTATACTGTTACAGATTCTGTAGAGCTCGTTAGAGGATCCACTTTTCCAAGCTCAAATTGTACTATTACAGACTCTGTAAAAGTCGTTAGAGGTTGTTTGGGATTTTATAGAGCATATCTAATAACATAGTATGGTAAGTGTACTATACTCATTCTGTGAGATACGTTTGGCTCTAACTTTGTAGTTTCCGTTTAAGACCTGGTGGTTCCTAGGCAATTTGCTGTTTAACTTCTACTTCTAAAGAAAGTTTAAGACACGATGTTTCTTAATTTTGAATTTACCAAAAGTCTAAGGGTAATTATTAATAAAAAATTAGGTTTTGGTTAAGGTAGTAAAAAAGATGTACTGTGATGACCTTTAACAAATGTCTTTTCAAGAACTGTTGATGGCTGTGTCATTTATTTTATAAATAAAGTACGAATATACTTTCAGTTCGATGAATTTATGACTTTGTTTGATTTCTAATTTAAGTAGTTCTAATTATACAAAGATTGGTCCTATATTTCACCCAGAGCCATTATCACTCAACGTGGAGAGTCAGACGCTTCATAATCGCATGTTATGTCTATCATGAAAGTTTAGATAAACACTAATAAACCTTGTACCGTGAACAGTGCCCTCAAGGATAATGTGCCCGTAAATTGATCATTACAATAAATTAATTGCAGTAACATTTTTATTTTTTAAATTGTTTATTATTTCATCACATTTTCTAAGATCTTGTCACATAAAGATATTTAGATTAATTTAGTGAATGTAGTAATAGTACGTTAGAAAGAAAATGTTATTAATGTTTAATCCATATGAATTTATCCTTTCGTATCCTACTCTGTTGGTGTTGATTCATTAAACAAGACGTCACAAAACAAATGATACGTTTTATGCTGTCTAGAATACGTTGATAGTTTTGTGTATAATGTAAGGGTAACAAAGGACTTGTTATACTGTCCCATCCACTAAATTAAACTCTGAAATACAAATAAAACACTCAGAGCCAGCCCTATCATTCAAATATTTATCAGTTCTTCTTAAATTCCCTTAATTTAACTGCATCCACTACATTTAAAGGCAAACCCATTTCAAAGGACAAGAATTTAAAACAAATTAAAGCTTTCTTACTTGAAGATGACTTCTTCCCTGCCAACTTTTATATTTGCGTTCCCTAGTTTACCATTCTCTACCACCATTATAAGCTTCAAAAGGATGTGGAGAGGGGGGTTTTCTGCATATTTTAAATGTTAATGATACCTTTTCTTAGCGTAACTTGTGACAAGTTTTTCCCCAAAAGTGAATGTAACTTCCATCTGATCTTCGTAACTTTTACAAACCTTGTCCTCCTTCACTTTGCTGAGAGTATTTCTTATTAAAGTATTATCACTTTTTGTTTAAATTTGCTGATAATCCAGAGACATTTTATTTTGTTACATCTCTGAAGAGTCATCTCGTTATTCCAGGAACCTGAAATAGTGCTTGTTCCATTGCGAGGTCATGATTTTACAGGATTGGGATTCAATATCTTCGGTAACATGAGGGATGGTATCTTTGTAAAGGATGTACTGCACAGAGGACCCGCCAGCGAATCTGGAAGAATAAAAGCAGGTAATACATTAGGCTTAATTTAGAGAGAGCTTTTGATGTTTCTTATTTACATCACCGAAAACAAAAAAAACAAAAAAAAAACAGGACTTGCAACGTTCAATCATGTGTTATTGTTCACAACTTGTAAAATCGCCATTACTGCAACAAACACAGCTTGTGAAATTACTATTACTACACCAGACACATTTTATGAAACCACCATTACTGCACTAGACACAACTTCTGTAATCCGCTCCAATCAGTTTCAATACTAAAGTAATATTGACGTGATATAGTGAGATTGGTAATGGTAACCGATCATCTGATGTAGTGACACTAGTAATGGTAACTGAGGATCTGATATAGTGAGATTGGTAATGGTAACCGAGCATCTGATATAGTGATATTAGTTAACCCAGCATCTGATATTGTGACATTGGTAATGTTAACCAAGCATCTGATATAGTGACATTGGTAATGGTAACCGAGCATCTGATATAGTGACATTGGTAATGGTAACTGAGCGTCTGATATAGTGAGATTGGTAATGGTAACTGAGCGTCTGATATAGTGAGACTGGTAATGGTAACCAATCATCTGATATAGTTACATTAGTTAACCCAGCATCTGATATAGTGAGACTGGTAATGGTAACCAATCATCTGATATAGTGATATTAGTTAACCCAGCATCTGATATAGTGACATTGGTAATGTTAACCAAGCATCTGATATAGTGACATTGGTAATGGTAACTGAGCGTCTGATATAGTGAGATTGGTAATGGTAACCGAGCATCTGATATAGTGACATTGGTAATGGTAACCAATCATCTGATATAGTGAGATTGGTAATGGTAACCAATCATCTGATATAGTTACATTAGTTAACCCAGCATCTGATATTGTGACATTGGTAATGGTAACCGAGCATCTGATTTAATGTTGTTGGTAATGGTAACCTATCCTTTGATATATTGGCATTTGTAATGGTAACCTATCGTTTGATATATTGACATTTGTAATGTTAACCAAGCATCTGATGTGGTGACGTGGTAATGGTAACCAATTGTTGAATATACAAGACTGTTTAGAGTAAGAGTTATTATTTAGTTCATTTATTGATCTAATATTTAATGATTATTTAGTTTTCATAACAAGAGTGTTAAAGTTAATTATCTTAAATGCGATAGTTATGAGAAATGTTGTTACGCAACTCAGTAAGAGTCGTACGTTGTGTGTGTAGTTCAACTGTTGACATCGTGTTACTCGAACGTTCTGCATTTTTCTCGATGCCTTAAGTGAATATTGTTACACCACAGCATCTAGTAGTTTGAAGGAAGTTCTAGGCGTCAGTTGGGCAATGTATATATATATATATATATATAAAAGCGGCCAAGTTAAGTCAGAAAACGTTAAGTTAGTGAAAGTGAAGCTAGAATGCGTGATTGTTAGTTTAGCCATAACGGACAATATTTTAAAGTGAGTTTCACAGTTAACAGAGATAGGAGAATAATTTGTCTTGTCAGAGGGTGTTCTAAAATAATTGAACCCGCCTGTGTGGACTTTGAAGAAAAGGAAACAATTATTTAAAGTTCTGGATACAACTGTGGTAACCCATGGAGTAACGTAAGGGAATCATTCACTGATACTATTCTGAGAAGTAGAGATAAAGAAGAAATAATTCGTCTTGTCAGTTAAGATCTAAAGTAACTGAACCAGTCTGTGTGGACTTTTAAACAGAATTATTTAAAGCTTTAGATACAACTTTGATAACTAATAGTGAAACATATTTTTGTACATATGATTGACTTGTTTTTAATATATTTTTTAAAACAAGTGGATTGTGTGCTGTCCATTTGTTGTAAACGTTTATCGCCAACAAGTCACAGACACCTACTGCAAAGAATACGGCCCCTTATGTAGAAAACCATGACACTGATCATTTGATATAGTGACATTGGTAATGGTAACCGATCATCTAATACGATGACATTAGTAATGGTAACCAAGCTTCTGATATACTGACATTGGTAATGGTAACCGATCATCTAATACGATGACATTAGTAATGGTAACATAGCGTCTGATATATTGACATTGGTAATGGTAACCGATCATCTAATATGATTACATTAGTAATGGTAACCAAGCTTCTGATATACTGACATTGGTAATGGTAACCGATCATCTAATATGATGACATTAGTAATGGTAACCAAGCATCAGATATAATGACATTGGTAATGGTAATCAAGCATCAGATATAATGACATTGGTAATGGTAACTGCTGATCTGATATAGTGATATTCGTAACTCTAACCGATCGTCTGATATAATGATATCAGAGAACGAAGATTGTGTAAAACTACTATATTTTTTTATGTTATATTTCAAATTATTTTTGCTTGTATGATATTATTTCATTGACAAATCGATATGTAACGCAAAAAGTTTATTTTCCATTTTTAGAGAAACATTTTATAGTTTCTAATAAAAATATCTTTAATCTTCTAGGCAAACTTTAAAATTTTAGTACTTTCGAGAAGAGTCTCGAAATAATTACCCAAACTTTACCTCAGGTAGCAAACTTAGATAATTCCAAGAATGAAATTCTGCCGATACTCACCGGAACTCAGTACCTGTTCTTTTTACAATTTAGACTCTAGTACAACTTCTTTTAATATTTTGAAAGAAAGTACTGAAATTAACTATTGTTTGTATATTTTGGAAGTCTTGTTAAATTAAAGAAAACTTGATACTCTATATACTGAGGCCAATTCCTGACTAAGACAGTTAAGTACATGTACTTCTTTAAATTAAAAATAGTTTTACTACTAAACGAGTACACAGGAATACGAAATCAAAACCAAAACCAAGAATGCGTGAACAGTTTTCCCTATGATATTCATTCTGGACCTCACATCGCAGCAGTCTTACAGTTCACCTAGATCAGTTCAATGTGTTTATGGACTGAGATTGCCTGGTGGAATTTCATGAAGATGGCGTTTCGGACTTTGATCGTGGACTTGGAGAAACAAGCTTCATCATAACGACCAAAACGCCATCTTTACTAAAATGACACAGCCACTGCAGTTCATAAACGAAATCCTTCAGAACTTTCACAACTAGCATTTACAAATGATATGAGGTTTTTACTAAGGATTAAACATCCCTGAGAAGTGATCTTTACTATAGAAAACTTTTTTTTTCCTTTTTAGGTGATCGTATCTTAAACGTTACCGTCTCCTTTACAAACATGGTCTATGAGGATGCCCTAACAATTCTAAGTTATGCTTCTCCATATGATGTTCAATTGGAGCTGGAAAAAACTTCAGAAAACGACCAAGGAATAGCAGCGCCATCTGCAGGAAAACGTCTAGGATCTTCCAGCTTTAGTGATGGAGGTCAAAGGCTCTTCCACCCTCTGTATCGAAGTCAGTCTATTGACGATCTAACACAAATTGATAAGGATTCTTTTCCTTCTAAAGGACTCGCACCTAAGCGATCTCAAAGTATTGGACTTGCAGCTCAAAGGTTGAGATCCCACTTGGAAGGTAGAAATAAAGAGGTCGCTCCAGAAGAAATTGATAGGCTAACAACAAATATTAATGGATCAATGAATGAGCATATGCTGGCCACAGCTATGGTGGACGATGGAAATCACAAGAAATTGTTATACCGAGAAAGAAATGCAGATTTTGCTCTCACAATTAATGAGAAATTATTGGTTAAAAATGAAACTGAGGAAGTTGGCTGCAGTGAAAACTTTACAAATATTTCTGAAGAGAAACAATCTCTCAGCACCAATGTTCCATTAGAAGAAAGCTGTGCTAGACCAGATGAGAAGTTTGTGATTAAAGAAAAAGAACAAAATACAGAAGCTAATGATACGAATGAAGAAAAAACTCTTTCTCTTCCTAGGAAGATGGCCACTCCAGGAAAGAGGAGAGCACCTGCACCACCTCAGTCTTTTCATGGAGTAGCCATGGAAACCAAGGCCTTTGTGCATCAATTTGAAGATTCGGAAGAAAATAAAATTCGATGCAATCATGATGACGAGAAATGTTCATCATCAACAGAAACTACCGAAGATAGAAAGAATTCTATAGAAAGCTCAAAACCGCTAACAAATGGCGTATCTGATTCTGTTGAAGTCGATAGTCTGGAAAATTTCTATATGTATGAAGAAACATATGTTGGCGAAGATGAAGACTCTGATGTTTCAAAAGATTCCTTGGAAACTGATGATAAAGGAGAAAAAGTTCGAAGAAGGTCGTCTTCTTTGGGAGACATTAAGAAACTTGAAGAGGCCGTAAATCGATCCCCGACTCTCTTGGAGAGGGCAGTATCTTTAGATTTTCAAAAACTGACCCTTCCAGAAGGAAACCTTCGTGAACAAAACAAAATTTTAGGACCTACAAATTATAACCCACAGGAGGAAGAAGTATTTATTCCACTTAAAGAAGTCAAAGAACCTATTAAACATTTAAATATAAGCAAAATTTCACCTTATGTAGTAGAAGCAAAACCACAAGAAGAAATTAACAATTCATTCACTCTATACCACAATGAAAACGTCTCGAGTCCAGATGACACGATGAAGAAGCACGCCATTGAACCAGATGTATCTCTAAATTTAGATTATTTATCCAATACATCTACAATAAGCAAATCAAGTTCCATATCTAGTGTATCCAGTCAAAGTAACCATGAAGAAAAGAATATGACTTCCACCCCGGCTAAAAGAGTTATCAAAATAGATAACAATCTTCTGAAGTCAAATCTTTGTTTCGATACCAAAAATTCGAAGGAGGGCTACATTCCCGCCCAGAGGGAGAATAAACTGGATTTTACTTTCAAAACTTCAAACAATGCCAGTCCTGCTCAGGTAAGCAGAAAAGACAACTCTCCGTTAACAGTGGATATACCAATTATACCTCCAGTGATTCGTCACCAAGAAAAAACGGCTTCTTCTCATCTTATTCTCACCCCTGCCTCCAGACCTGAAAACAAAGACGTCAATGAAATTAGCAAGCAGAAACTAGATAGTATGTTTTTCTCTCACAAGGATTCTTTGCTTGAACAGGTAACCACAAAGGATACCCATCCAAGTCCGAATCCAGAGCTGACGACTAAATGGCCTTCAGAAAGCACTGATTTCGACTCTTGGAGCTTTGAAGTTGGACCTGGAAGTACAGTTAAAAGCTATATGAGCTCCATGAATGGCAACAGCAGTGAAATATCTTCAAATTTATACAAAACGGCCGTAGAGATTCCACTCGATAATTCTGGTAATGTCATGGAACATTCCAGAAAAGAACTCGCTCCAGAGATGTCTAGCTACACAGTACGTAGCGCTGAAGGAGGAATAACACAAACTGTCATTATATCAACCAATAACTCTTCTACTGCACATTCTCCACCCCCACAGTTGCAACCTCCTTCATATTAACAAAATTTATCTATGTCTTGTCAAAATATATGAAAGGAAAACTTCGAAAACTAGTATAACAAACTCCAGCATCGCAAAGTTTGCCTTTTGAAGAGAAAGAAATCATCCTCTTCAGATATTCCTCAGTAAATGAACAAGGTGAGACTAACCCAGCTACAAGACTTGAGACAAGACCAATACTCTGAAAAACAAGTAGGACTCAAGGACAACCAGCGCCAAGAGCTACGATTTATTTATGTCTATTTCTCTCCACTCGGAGCCTGCAGGTGTTGTTAATAGCAGTAAAAAAACAACCATTAATTATAAGAACTACGTGTAATTCTGCACTTCGGCTATGAGATGGCGCCACCTGTACAGATCATATAAACATAATTTTGTCTCGCTACACAATAACCGGTGTAAAAATAATAATTAATTAATCGCCTAATGATTTATATGTTAACACGACAATATACATTAGTGACCATGACTCTCTATTTTAAAGCATGTATATTGGATTTATATATATAATTTGTGCATAATTAAACAAAAACAGACAAAACATAAGTCATCTCAAGTAAAAAGTCTTATATTTACAAATATAATTTAGTATTAAAACTATTATGGAAGACCTATCAATAATTGCTTTGAATTTCGTTAAATTTCAGAGCTTTGAAGTTCATCATAAGAAATACCACACTTGTCAGAGCGGGCTGATCTAGATGTAGGCGTGCTAAATTAATCCGAGAGTTCGTGGCTCGCGTCCCGTTGCCGCAAAACCTTGCACTGCGATGCGCTACAACAATGACGGAGAAATCCTTCTATTCGATTAGACAAGGGTTGGCCATGTGTACTGTTGACTAGCTACCTTCACTCTAGGGTCCGGCATGGCCAAGTGGTTAGGGAGCTTGACTCGCTATCTGAGGGTCGCGGGTTCGAATCCCAAACATGCTCGCCCTTTCAGCCGTGGGGGCGTTATAATGTGACGCTCAATCCCACTATTCGTTGGTAAAAGAGTGGCCCAAGAGTAGGCGGTGGGTGGTGATGACTAGCTGCCTTCCCTCTAGTCTTACACTGCTAAATTAGGGATGGCTAACGCAGATAACCTTTTGTAGCTGAAACAAACATTGAAACAAAAGTAAGCAGAACTATTTGTGCATTCATGGGCGGTGGTAAGAAGGCATGCTGGAACTGAAGTTACCCCAAAACTCCCCTATAGCCCCCGCACCCTAAAACAATGCTTACTGTTAAAGCTGGCTAACTTCCTAAATACCATATATACATTATGTATACCCACAAGATGTAGAGTGAAGCCCCCTGAAAACTTTGTCTAACCCAGTTCAGCCCTCTCACTGGGAAGAGGTTGGCGCCGCCTTTGGTTTAATTCAATAACCTTCAAAATATATTTCTTAACAAAGAAAAAAGATGAGTTATTGAGGAAGAAGATATCTTTGAATCTTAAAACATTTATCTTAAGTCAATAAGGAAGGGGGTGTTCGTCAAGATTAAAACAATTATGTAATATTGGTAAGGAAGGGATTGTCCGTGAAGATTAAAACAATTATGTAATATTGGCAAGGAAGGGTTGTCCGTGAAGATTAAAACAATTATGTAATATTAGTAAGGAAGGGGTTGTTCGTGAAGATTAAAACAATTGTGTAATATTGGTAAGGAGGGGTTGTTCGTGAAGATTAAAACAATTATGTAATATTGGTAAGGAGGGGTTGTTCGTGAAGATTAAAACAATTATGTAATATTGGTAAGGAAGGGGTTGTCCGTGAAGATTAAAACATTTATCTTAAGTCAATAAAGAAGGGGTTGTTCGTGAAGATTAAAACATTTATCTTAAGTCAATAAGGAAGGGGTTGTTCGTCAAGATTAAAACAATTATGTAATATTGGTAAGGAAGGGGTTGTCCGTGAAGATTAAAACAATTATGTAATATTGGTAAGGAGGGGTTGTTCGTGAATCTTAAAACAATTGTGTAATATGGGTAAGGAGGGGTTGTTCGTGAAGATTAAAACAATTATGTAATATTGGTAAGGAAGGGGTTGTCCGTGAAGATTAAAACATTTATCTTAAGTCAATAAAGAAGGGGTTGTTCGTGAAGATTAAAACAATTATGTAATATTAGTAAGGAAGGGGTTGTTCGTGAAGATTAAAACATTTATCTTAAGTCAATAAGGAAGGGGTTGTCCGTGAAGATTAAAATAATTATGTAATATTAGTTAGGTAGGGGTTGTTCGTGAATATTAAAACAATTATGTAATATTAGTAAGGAAGGGGTTGTTCGTGAAGATTAAAACATTTATTTTATGCTAATAGGGTTGGGGTAGATTTGTTAGTTTGGAATGTTCGTGCAAATCTACGCAAGGGCTATCAGTGCTAGCTGTCCCTAATTTTGAAAACATGGGCAAGAGAGGTTTGGTTCATTTGGTTATTTTTAAGCACACAGCTACACAATGGGCCATCTGTGATCTGCCCACCAGGGGTATCAAAACCCCTATTTTTTAGCGTTGTAAAACTGCAGACTGGGGAAAAGGTTGCTACTCTACAGCACTCATCGTCAACTCTTGGTCTCTAATCGAATAGTGAGAGATGACCGACACTATTATAAAGCACCCACAATCCCAACTTTGTAGTAATGGGACATGAACCATAGATCCTTGGAGTCACAGTTTGGCACGCTAATCATTATGTTTGAAAAGAGTTGCCTATGAAGGCTAGAACATTTCTTTTTAAAAAAACTTTATTTTATAACTGTCTAGTGTTGAACTGCTTTAATGAATAGAAAGCTAACCTTAACTGGTTTAGGGTGTTTGTAGTTTGTATTTGAGCACTCTGTCATGTTGTTTTTAATCAAGAAACTTTATAAATTGTAGATCCATCTACTTATTTATACATCTGTCTATTTATCTATCTCTCATGATGCCTCATTGAGATCCATTACTTATGAAAGAAATACTTTCAGAGTTGGCTGTGTATTTTAGTTTGAGTGCTCGGAATTCTAAATAGCTCAAACACGAAAAATTATTCACTACTGCCAGAGTTGGAAAATGGTAACTGTTTACTGTTATTACAGTTGGTAAGATTTAGGATGATTCGGAGTTAATATAAAGAACAAATAAAAGAGTGAGATATCTGGATAATAGTGATGATTTAGGGTTAAAATAAATGACAGACATAACGAAAAGTAATCTAAAATGTAAATTTGTGGTTTTCCCTTTTTGTTTGCAGTTTTTGTCTGTTATATTAAAAAGTAAACCTTTATGTTATGATGTAGATTTATCAAGTTTAGAGCTTTGTTCTTATTTGTAATCTTCAACAAAAGATGCACTCTGAGTGTGAACGTTTTGATTATCACATAATGAATAAAGAACACGCTATCACATCAATCTATATATATATAACTGAATAGGTTTGCATCAATAAACATATTTACAAACATATACAGTAGCCTAATCAACAATTCTTCGTTTGTGCATTTGAGCAAATAACTTGTGGGAGACAAAAGCTAGGCCTGAAATGTTGGTTTTAAACGCCTCTTAATTTGAGTCCAAAATGGTCAAATTGACAGGAATTTGTAATAAAACCAACTTCAGTTAATGTGATTTTCTTATTACAAATGTTAGGCCTGTTGTTTTTTGATGTTTCTCCAGCTTTGGGCGTTTAAAGTGTAACTAATAAATACCTCTTAAAATGCGTAAGCTATCATTCAAAGTTCATTTCTTGATTTATTATTGTTTTCGTCTGGAAGCTGAGCATTATCATGACGTCATAACTAAAATAAAATAACATACAAATATACTGTCCATTATTTATTAATTACAAGTTAATTTTTACAACTAATATTGAACCTTCTCTATGGAGAGAGCTTTAACAGACGTTTTTTTAATTAACTTCTTCTAAACCACTAAGCCTGTTTGAAAATACTATTAATTAAGTTAATAAGCTAATAATGATATTAATCAAATTACTGTTTAATAAGAAAACTATGTTGATAAAAATTTTAAACAAGTTATAGTTTTAAAATCAATTAACATGAAACGAAGAATTTGAATATATGTATTAATCAAACGACACTAACAAGTGTTGACCTAACATGTTTCGGATGGCTATAAACGCACGTGCATCACCAGAGGTGAAAATGTTCTCACACTTGTTCCAAAATTCTTCGTTGCTCAAAAAAGCAAACCTTGCATAGTCATCTAATTTTATAGCTTTTGCTTTAATTGTCTATATAAAAGTTTACATAAGTTACATTTTAACAGTCATCATGGTGATAAGAATATTAACTTAGTTACTATTTGATACGGTAAACACGTACTAAGAATATTAGTATTGGTTAATAAGGTTACTATGGTGATGTGTATATTAATTGAGTCACTGTATAATAAGGTAACCATGGTGACAAGAATACTAATTGAATCATTGTATAATAATGTAACCATGGTGATGAGAATGTTAACTGAGGCACTGTTTAATAAGGTAACCATGGTGATAAAAATATTAAATTAGTTTATTTAATTACTTTAATTATTTGTAAATTACTCACACTTGTTTCACTTTGTTACACGACGATTTCAAGTTCAATAATTGTATTCCTAATCATAACAGCAGATTTGTGTATCCAATTTTGGTCTTTTAACTCTGGAACAATATTGATGTATACCAGTGATGTAAATATGTTTTTTAATTAAGAAATGTTAATTTTTGGATGTTCTAACGGTCCCACAAGGGGCACACTGATGCTCAATGTCTATACTTATATTTTTACTTGTAATATTTTTCTTAAATAAGACTGATTTAAATAAAAACGATTTCGTACTCATCCGTCGTGTTACATTTTGACTTTTCATTATTCGGCAAGATACATGATTCCATAAGGTGGTTCAAGAAAGATTTTGAAGTTATGAACATTAACAGAGTGAATACGACAAATTTTAGGAAGTTAACCAATACTTCTGGCTAAATATTACAAACAATGTTTTAGACGCTCCCTGAACAAATGTATGAATGTGTGGTTTAAGCATGAGTAGGTAGTCACGTGATTAAACTGTTTCTTCATTGATTAGCGTGTTTCTAACTTAACAGTTTTTGTGTCTTGTTGCTGTGATTTCGAATAATTAATCTAATACGTAAATAATATATATTGTTGACTGATAGGTTATCACAGAACATGAAAATTGCTTCCCTCATATGTAATTGTTAAAAACGAAAAAAAAAAAAACAGCAAAATGCAAAATTGAAAATTTGTATGTACCTCCTCATGGACCCAACAAACCTTCATGTCAAACTTGGTGGAGATCCATCAACAGATGGCGAAGCAGTGGTAAAAAAAACGCTCATAAAAACAGCAAAATATAAAATTGAAAATCTCTACGGACCTAATGAACCTCCATACATATTGTTACGACAGCGGAAGTCACGTGACGCTGCTGGCACACTGGCGCTGGCGGCGTGTGCGAGGAGTTTCTCGAATGATCGTGAA